CAAATGCCGGTCGCTTCGGTTGTTGATCCCAGTCTGAGTGAGCTCCCCCCATTATGGGCGGTTACATTCAAGAGGCCGTAAACAGGAAAGCATATTGTCTTAGCTTGAAAGAAGCATGATATCTTCGCTAAACTTTAAGCCCTAAACCCTAAACCCTAAACCCAAAACCCTAAGCCCTAAACCCTATAAACCGTTACAAAACCCTAGAAAGGCGGTTTCGTCGGCGTCTCATCTCAAACCCCGCCTGCGTTTTTTCAGAAGCATCCTCAGCCCTTAGCTTACGAGGTGCCAGCACACCGGTTTAGGGTTTACGGTTTAGGCTGTTTTGGCTATGTTTGTAGGGTCCCTTGGCATGATTTCCTTATACAGTTGATTGTAGGGTTCTGAAGAGTTTGTCTGTTTTTATCACGCTCCCATTGCTCTTTCATAGGCCCTGCGAACCAAACGTTAAAGCCACCAGAAACTAAACCCAACACATTCCTAGCCAGAAACCCAGAACATCCCCTAACCCTAAAACTTCAGAAAGCTATAACCCTAAAACTTCAGAGAGCTATGACCCTACAACTTCAAGCTGCAATCCTAAACCTTGAAAGGCTGGGCGATGTGATTCGCGAATGGAATCGGCTAATCAGTGCTGCAAAAGGGGCCAGCAGTTGCAGCCGTTTGCACGTTCATCGGGTTGCACATGTCCAGCTTTGCGATGCGCTGAGGGCTGAAGCAGGCAGGATGCCATGGATCGCAAGAGAAGCGCAGTTCGCCGCCTTGCGGTGATTCTACCTTGCGTTTTGGTTTGGATCTTCCACACCCACGCGATCTTCAGCATTCCGAAAAGCATCCAAGATGCCGCCCGGGACAAAGGCGTGAGCCCTGAGCAATACTTATATCAGAAGATGTGAGCAGCAAAGTTGAGGCTTACCAAGAGAGCAATGCGATGCTGGGCGTGAGGAGTTCGGGGAAGAATCGAAGAAGGCGGCGCGATGGAGCTTTCTGAGTTTGATGGGTTTGTTGTCTGCAAATTTGTTTGAATGGCAGAGGAGATCGTAATGTAATTGTGATACAACCCAAGATGTCACACAAGCCTTGTCAGGCTATGGGAAACAAAGGCTGGCACCTCGTCATTAGGGGTAAGCCTTTGGGCAAGACCAAGATTGTGAAGACCCTCGCTGACAAAGCTTGCGATGACGCTGCATTGCTCTATGTACGTCGATATGCGTATACCACCGCAGCCGGAGTCAACAAACGTCTTGGAATGCTTGCAGGCGCAAGCAAAGCGCGCATGGAATGACAAAAACATGCCCCTCGGCCCCTACATCGTCGCTGTTGCTGCCCTTGGAACTCTGCTTGCTGCAAGCAGAGTTGCAAGGGCAGCACAGCAACAATCCTGCGTCTGGGGGCACAGAGCTGGCACTGTCCGAGCTCTTGGATATTCCCAAACCCTGTCGCCCGTGTTGCAAAAGATGAGATGAAATGCCTGGCCATTGCAATTGCCACACAATAAAGATCCCAGAAAAAAACGGGGTTCTGTTCAGACCATTGCTGTAGATCTATCGTTCTAGGGTTTACGGGTCTAGCGCTTACGAAAAACGGGCTTTAGGTTTTGTGGTTTTGCGGCTTCAGGGTTTCGAGGTTTCCTGGCTCGAAGTGTTGGGGCTTTTGAGTGTTCAGGTGTCGGGTTTAAGGTGAAGGTCTAAAAGTACATTGGTTGAACCCTAAACCCTAAACCGTAGTTCGGGGTTGAGGAAATCGCTTCGGAGCAGAGCATCTCGAGGACTTTCGTGCCCCAAGCTCTCTCCTGGATCCAAGCAACATCGGACAGACCAGCATGCATGTATAGCCGAAATCAACTGAAGGCTGTCCTATTCTTTCAGCTTTGGACGATATTGACACGAAGTCGATGACTGCCATGACTATGCCTAGTACTTGTTGCGCAAAAGGCCCTTCATGATACATTGGGCTTCGTTGTGGCAGTCAGGCTGTGCAAGCTGAAGCCGTTGCCCAAAACATCGAGTGGACCCCTAAACCCTAAGCCCCAAACCCTAAACCTTTTTCCTGCACCCCAAGACCTGAGCCCTAAACAGCCTTGCGCATGGCGGCGCCTCGAAGACAAGGCCGCTAGAGGCTTGGTTTTTGGTGCGTGTCGTCTTGTTGAGATGAGAACACAGCATTTCGAAATTGTTCGCAAGCCCCTCCATCACCGATTCTCAAGAGAGAGTTTGAAAAGGTGTTTTGGAAAGCCTGTCAAAACACTTCCGACCGGCTTTTGCGATCCCCGCCATCATTTGTTCTCATGCATGTTGCCAAACGAGTCTCAAAATTCTTTGTCGCAACTCACCTGACTAGTTGCTGTAAGCCCCCAACATTCACTGATTCATGTTTGGAGCTGCTAGGAGAACTGAATGAAGCTGTGTGTTTGTCCTAGGTCTTCAGTTTCGATCGGGGATAATCTATATACATGGTTGTAGGGCTGAAAATCCCTGACCCTGAACCCTGAACCCCATCTAAACCCTAAAACCTAAACCCCACACCCCACAACCCTTCTCACCGCTAGGCCTTGGGTGATGGCAAGCTGCCATGGCAATGGCCAAGGATCTCATCACCAACATCCTGAGGCCACGACATAGGGCTAAGGGTGTAGGGTTTACAGCATGGTATATGATTCTGTATGTTGTCATACTGTTTTTGTGTTACTATGTTCTTTACATACTGCAGCAACTTAGACTATACTGTATTATTTAGTAGTGTTCTGTACTGTGGAAGATTGAGTTCTTGTGTGTATTGTAACATGTCTCGCTGTGTTGTTCTAATGTGGTATGCTGTACTATGTTTCATCGTAATGCATTGTACTATGCTGGACTACATTAGATTGAACTCTGTTCTACTACCTTTTGTTGTAGTGGCATTATTCGACGGGCGTCAACATGAGACTGACAGGGTTTGGCTGTTGCAAGACTCCGGGCTTCGCTTCTGCAACTCCCGATTGCACCTCAATGACTGCAGACTGACAGTGGGCGAAGAAGAAGCTCGTAAGGTTGCTTTAGGCTTTATTTAGGGCTTAAGTTTTAGAGTTTAGGGTGAAACGGCCTGGACCCACTGCCCGCTGATGAACGAAACATTGTCAAGTCGTAGTACAAGTAGCCCGGCATACTACTCCTTCTATCCTCAGGGTGGGTTCTTTGGGTTCCCTTTCCCAAGTCCTGAAACCGTACTCGTGGGAAGCACACTACCTGACACAAACCTTCTCGTCCCGGATCGTAGTTTTAATTGTTTAAAGAGTTTTCTCGCAGCGACAGTGCACGGATCATGTGTCCAGAATAATATCCCAAAGTCCGAAATCGTATGTATAAATCTCAAGGCCAATTGAAAGGCCCCCGGCAAGACGAAGCAATAAGCTTTATAGTGAACCCCAGAAAGTTGGAAGATGGATTAAGGATGATTAGTTTTCTGGCTTCTACTGTGCATCTAGCTCAGCCCAAACCCTAAACCCTAAACCCTAAACCAACGCTTACGTCTAGCTGCGCCCAAAACCCAGCTTCTGAAATTTCTGTGGCGACAGCATGACACCAACTTCGAAGGAAGCCAGCTCGTCCTCAGACTTGGGCTTTTTTCTAAAACCTAATCCCTAAACCCGAAACCCTAAACCCGAAACCCTACACCCTAAACCCAAAATCAAGCGACCTCTATAACATGGACAGACGACGCAGTAGCATGCTCATGTCGCAGGCCCCCTAAGCAAGGTCAGCCCCCAAAAACCTCACACATATCCTGAGAATTCCGAAGTCCTACGTAACCCTAGGCCCCAAACCCAATTCTGGAGGGACAAAAAAACCTAAACCCTAATCCCTAAACCCCTAAACCCCTAAACCCTAAACCCCTAAACCTCCAAACCCTAAACCCCTAAACCCTAAACCGCCTAAGCCCTATCCGGAGCTCTGAGCACCAAAAACCGCACCCTGCCGGGACTCGGAGGAGCAGCTTGCTGAGGTGCGCGGCAGATGTTTGGGCACAGTTCTCGGATGTAGAAACCCAAAACCCTAAACACCCTAAACCCTAAAAAAGGGGCTGGGGTTCAGGGTTTAGGGTTTAGGTAAGGGCTTAGGGAAACAAACCTAAACCCTAAACCTGAACCCCAGACCCTAAACCCTAAACCCTGAACCCCTACAGCCCCCAAAAACCGAAGCCCTGAGCTGACTGAAATTGCAGCAGTGGCAGCAACCACCCTTACATCAGGACCCGGTGTGAGCCGACAATCACGATACTTCTCATGATGCTAAACAGGCACCTACCATCACCCAAAGCCCGCGACAGAGCTGGTCCTCTTCATCCAGGTTAGAGTCGTCGTCGAGTCCCAGTCGACATCTAAGTCGTCTACGTCCGACCAACCACAAATCGTCCACCAGCCCAGTATGTCCATCGACGCATCACTCTGCATAAGTATGACATGAGGTGCTCAAACTCGGGGAATACAAGCACCTGCTTTTGCATCCTCCCGGGGTTTGCAGATGCTGGTTCTTGTCGAAGAGTCCCATACAATGTGAGGGCGGGCGCACGGCTGAACACTATGCTGGCCGCAGCTGCATGGATCATGAGCCATGCACATGTTAGCAAATCTAGCCCCTACCTGCAAGGCGGCTGCAACCCCAACTTGAACCCCTAAACCGTTATATGGGGGTTTCCAAAAATAGGGGACCCCAATATGGTACCCTAAATAATAGGTTCCTTATTATAAGGACCCCAAAATAAGGTACCCTAATTTTCGGAAAGTCCCATATAGCCACGGCCTCACAAAGAGACGTCAAAGCGACTCCTAGCACTCACGAGCGTTTTCTGTTAAACCTCGGATTTTGAAGTCTGGCACTGGGGTTGTATTTAGATGTGCGAGTCTGCATTTATTACTTAGCCCCCGACACTCTGCCATAAACCCTAGAACCTAAACCCTAAACCCTATAAACCGTCGGCCACGCCCCGACCGGAGACCTCGGGGCTTTTGCCCCCAAGTGCCGATGTCGGATCGGAGCCGCACTCCACATGGAGCTGCCGACGCCGAGGAGCAGAGACCTCAAGAGGATGCGCAGGTCTCTTGCTCCTTTATGCTGAGAGAGGGGGGTGGGAGGGCGGATTTTTGAGGCTTCGGGGTTTTGCATGAGATTTGGGGTGGATGGGGACGTGGGTTCGCTACGTTGTGTTTTCAGGGACCGTTTGGGAGGTTGTATTTTTGCAGCGTTTGCTTCGGGTTCAGTGGCTGTTTCTGCTTTCGACATGATTGTTCAGGGCCGGTGCTTTGCCAGTCCCAACATACATACCAGACGGGAAATCTTTTGCATGCCCTAACCAAGGCTCGGGATCATGTCCCTTGCATCCTGAAGCCCTAAACCCTAAACCCCTAAACCCCAAACCCTAAAACTCTATAAACCCCTAGACCCTATAAACCCTAAACCCCTAAACCCTGAACCCTAAACCCTAAAACCCTTAAACCCCTAAACCCTAAACCCTGTTTTTTCCCCAGGGTCTGGCAGGAACCTTGCTTCAACTTCACACCTAGGGATTCTAGGCTCTTCGCGGTTTGGGGCAAAAGGCCCCCCCACAAATTGTATGGGTAATTATTTCGGCCCTAAACCCTAAACCCTAAACCCTAAACCCTAAACCGTGTATTATGGGAACCTGGTTAAGGAAACCCGGGGTCTTCATGAGGGTTCTTTGTTTAGGGTTTAGGGTTTAGGGTTTAGGGTTCTTTAGATGAGTCCTACTATTTTGGGGGGTGATAGGACCAGGGTTTCTTCATGTAGGGGCCTTGATATAATTAGAATATGGTCTTGGGGATTCCTTATTATCATTAAAGTAAAATGTACCCCCAGACCGTTTTCTGATTTCAGAGGCCTCTACATGAATCAGGTTCCTACGCTACGTAGGGTGGGCTCCGATGTCGAACTCCTGGCCACAGCTGGGTCAGGCAGACTCGGATGACGACATCGTGCACTTCGCATGGCAGCAGGGGCAGGTGCTGGCCGCTCAATTGCATCCTAATACCGCGGGTGCCGGCTGCCGCTGCAGTCTCCGCTGTGGAAGGATCCTCTGCTCTTGCATGCACAAGTGTCAGCAAATTAGTACATCTACCATTGATCTTGTCAGGGTTCATGCCGCGAGACCAGAAATCCTAAAGCCCAAGCTCATCCGCAGCCTCGGATGCTATGAATCCTCCAGCCGACTGTCAGGACAGCCGGTATCGTGTCGCAACTTCGCTGCACCAAGGGCGCAAGTTACGCGAAGCCTATAGAAACTCGGAGCCTTTACACCTTAAGCCCTACAACTTGAGCCGTCCTTCCTGGCGCCTTAAACGTATTCTGCATGTAGCGTCTCGAGCCTGACACAGTGGCTTGCACATGACTAAGCAGAATCACGAGGTGCCTCTCATCCCTGAGGGGACTGTCTACACTCTACCTTTTCAAGCCTTAATCAGGAATTTGGAGCCGCACCCACGCGCACGCACACAAACGTGTCGAGAAAGGAAAGGAGGTAGTGTTAAGGTGAATACCTGTTTGTGCTGCCTTGAGACATCCGTGTCCAGGAAGAACTAGGCCGCAAACCTTAAGCCGTATGATTCATATGAGCCTATACTGCCAGTCCCTCCGCACTGGGCTCTGCTCTACTCCCTAGGGTTTGTTTAGGCTAAACCCTAAACCCTGAACCCTAAACCCTAATTCCATAGAAGCCGTGGCATGCTAACCCAATGCCTCAGCAGGAAGACCTCCTGGGTGACGGAGCTTTTGGCCGTGTGCTGCGGGCGACCGACTTGAAGGCAGGCATGACCCCTTGACTGGTTCAGACAGTATAGGGGCCTGATTCTAGTCATTATAATGATGAGAATAGGGCTTGGCTTAAATTATATGCTAGTTATAAGAAGGACATAACCCTATTCTAATTCTTAAGGCCCCTACATTAGCAGGTCTTTTCAGGTTTGGGGCTTTCACGACTCAGGCTTGAGGTTTAGATACGTAAAAAGTCTTCATCCTAGACCATACCAGACCAATGCCAAACGATGCCTTCTTGCAAGTGCTCCGAGAGCCTCAGTCGTAGAAGCCTTGCAAGTTGACGGTAGATGCTGGTTTCGGGGGGCCGGCTGCCATCAGAGGCTACAAAATCTCGTTTGTTGATTAAGGCTCATTTCCTGCGGTAATGTAGGGGCCTAAACAATTACCTATACTATCCTATTTTGGGGGTTCCTTATTATAAGTATAGTAGAATGGGCCCCAAAACCCCGTTCTGATTATTAAGACCCCTATATTACATTTGGATCCGGCTCCTGGGTTAAAGGACGTTCTTGGAGTCTCTGGTAGTGTAGGTAGGGGACGGGAAGTAGGGTTGAGGGACTTAGGATTTCAGCTTTGGTGAGTTGGGGGTTTGGCGGGCTGGAATGCTGCGATCATATACATGGAAAGGAATGAAACAATCTGAGTATTGAGGCTCCCGCATTCTGGCCGCATCGGTTTCGAACTTAATTGAGTGCTTGCCAGCACCCCTCTTCCAGAGCCACCAAGAAGGGGCTTCTGATGCGATTCAGGGTTTAGGGGTTCGGGGCTTAGGGTTTAGACCCTTACTGACACTCAGAGCCCAGCTGCAAACAAGGGTTTAGGACCTCTTCGAAGTGGTTTTGCTAGACTTGAGTCGCAAAAAAAGGGGTCAGCGAACAACGCGTTGAGCCTTCACCAAAGAAGTGCTGGAGTTATGTGGGTGGTTGTCAAAATTATGGTCCCTTTTTGGGTCCGTAATATAGTACGGCACCTAATACTTAGGGTACCCAAAAGGGACCCTAGTTTTGACAACCACCCATATGCAAAGCCCCGAGCCTCCGGAAGCTGACAAGAGCATCAAAAGCTACAGGCTTGAGTTTATCTAAATTCCTCAACCCTAAATGGGAGTTTTCGATAATTGGGGGTACCTTATTTTGGGGTCCTTATAATAAGGATGCTACTATTTAGGGCGGTATATTGGGGTCCCCTATTTTCGGAAAACCCTAAATAGATTTTAGACTATACTCGGATGTGGTGTGGGTGGGTTTTTGTCGAAGTTCAGGTTCGTCAAAGCTAACCCCCCGCATGGCCAGTCTACCCGTTGCAAAGACTTGTCGGACTCCTATATAATATTTCAACACCCTAAACCCTAAACCCTAAAGCCTAAACCTCAAACCCTGAGCCCTAAAGCAGATCCAACACCGACTAACCACCCTGCAATGCGGGCACGTCCTTGCTAAGTAGGGGGCAAAAAAACCCTAAACCTGGGTATAACGGTTAACCGGAGGTTCTTAGGTACGCAGATCCGAATATCAGATCACCCAGGTGTATTGATTCTTCCCGGCTTCGGAACAGAAACTAGTACCCTAAGGGTCCATGTACCCAAGTAGTATGTACTTTGGCCTTAATGTAGTCCCTATATAGGTACTTTAGGGCCAATGTTCTACTATTTGGGTACTCAGCCCCTACGAGTAGGGTGTTTTTTTCGCCGGACTGGAGCGCTCTCGGGTTGCGCGCCGTTTATCCCGACACTCGGGACTTAGTAGGGTTTAGGGTTTAGGAACCCTAGTAGGGTTTAGGGTTTAGGAACCCCCTAAACCCTAAAACCCCTAAACCCTGAAGCCTTGGTGTTCAGGAACCAACTGCGAATTCCACGAAAGCAAATCCGCTGCAGGATGACTCTGATGTCTCTCTCAAAGTCATTCGAGCGGCTTGTTTTGCATCAGTTTCAAGAGTACTTTTTCCAGCTCTGTCATCTTACTCTGAGAAGTAGCATTCTGCTTGATGTAGGTAGCATATGTGTAGGGGTGCGTGTCGTCTTCCAAACGGGAGTCCCTTTTTTGGACTGTACAAGCGGCCCTACTTGAGAGAGTCCCCCGATGCTCGTCGGAAGAATATTTTGTTTCAACCCTTTCTCAGCATGTTCTGGAGGTTTAAGGTTTAAGGTTCTAGTGTTTGGGGTTTAGGGTTGAGGGCTTGAGGTCTGGGCTCGCTTGACTGTCATTGGGTCGTTTTTCGGGAAGTGTGCTATTCACGACTGGCTATGGATCCTGTGCGTGTTTTCGAGGATACAAAAAGGGTTCTGGGCTCCTTATATAAGGCAATATGGGATACCCCTCTGAGTTAAGGGGTTTTCGCACCCGAAACCCTAAAATCATAGCTGTACAAACCCTAAGCCCCAACACCTTAAAGCCCTAAGCCGCCTCAACCTTAAACCCGAAACCCCTGAGCCCTGAACCCCTGAACCCTGAACCCTAAACCCTAAACCTTAAACCTTAAACCCTAAACCCTAAAAAAAAGCCCTAAAACCCAAGCCCAAACCAGGATGTGGAGAGGTATCGAGAGAATGCCATGATCGAGGCAAAGATCCTGGAGGCGCCCCCTTTTTCTGGCTTGCAGTTTCCTTAACCCCAAACCCCCAACCCGAGCCCCCAAACCCTAAACCTTAATCCACAAACCCTAAACCCTAATCCCCAAACCCTCAAGCCTAATCCCCATCACCTAAACCCTAATCCCCAAACCCGACACCCTAATCCCCAAAACCTGGGTGTCTATCTTCAGGGCTGAATGAGCTTGGGGTCTCGGGCTTCGGGCTCAGGGTCTTGGGCTTGGGAGAAAGAAGGTCAGCCCAAACCCTTCATACGGGAGCCCTCTTTACTTCAGGCTTTTAATGATTCATCTTTCGAAAACCCTTGCAAAAGTGGCTTAAACCTTTTGGTGTACATGATCTCGGGGCTTCGGGAAGAGCTTACATGGTGCCTTGGCGGGGTTGAAGGGACATGGGCACTGAGCTTGAGGTTTGGCTTGGGTCTCAACTCAACAAGGAGTGTAACCCTAAGCCCTAAACCCGACCTTCGATAGGTGCAGTGGGCAGTGGGTGTGCGATGGTCTGCAGGCATTTTATATAGCTGGTTTTGATGTGTATGGACTTTTGGATTTGGGTTTGCAGTTGTTTGCTGGTAGTTCACGAAGCTTCACGATGCCCCAGAATTTTGTTCTGGAGCTTGCTCTGTCGATATGGCCTTCGGAATTGTGCATAGCCCCGAGACCCGAGACAGTTTGGGCTTTGTGAGTCACGGAGTCAGGTCCCAGGTATAAGCAGCATAAGCTTCGGCCACATTGGACTTCCATCAGGGTGTTTACGCACATTATGCAGTGACGGATAATAAACGGACCCATATAGAGAGGAATAGCTACCCCAAGCCAACAAAATGCTGTAGGATGCCCTGCTGAGGACATACGTCAAGCAGATCCGAATCGGACGTCATATTGTGCAAGCAGCCGCATTGAGGATTTTGTTTTCATGCATGCTTTGCATCCCAACCTGAACATGCATACGCACTTCGAACGGTTTTGTAGTCTCCCCAGAGGTCAATTCGCATGCTTTCGTTGCTGTAGGTTAGGGGAGCGTGTGTTTGGCTAGACCGGGCTGTTGGACAACGAGGCCTGTCGCAAAAAATGGACCTTTTGCTGCTTTCGCCTGCACTGTCATAACCGTACACGGGGAAAAGGTGATGTCATGGTTGATTGAGGTGTGTACTTTCTTTCGATAGCTTCAGAGGCCGTTGGACATACCGCACCATTCTGGAACCATTCTGGATGCCTTGAGCGGGCTTCGTTCTGCATTCTTGCTTGTTGCAGCTGAGGTGTGATGATGTCTGACACATTCCTACATCAAAATGCTTACTTCGTCATGGTGTGTGAGCTGCTGGGCGACTCCTTGTACGATTTCTTGAGACTCGGACTCAACAGCTCGATCAAGCAAAAACATCAACTTCGCAGTGATTCCCAGCTGCCCCTAAGACCCGACCCTAAGACCTTCCAGCTAGCGACAACTTAAGCTTCAAGCCTGTGGAAAACTGAGGAACTAGGCTCCTCAAGTGTCTAGGACAGGGGTTTTGGGTGTAAGATGTACTAGAATCACGTTCGGAATTGTACGGGGTCCTATCCACATGTATTCCGACCCGTCAGGAGATTCTGTTTTCAGCAGCTAGTGTGTCTTGATACACCTGGAAGATGGCTGACGTGGTTTGACCCTAGATTCGTGCAGTCCGTAGTCCGGTCTTTGATTTCTCACTTTGACCGGCGGACGAGTGTCAGGGCCGAAAACCCGTCGCACATGATTCCCAGGAAGTGGAATGGCTTCCGCGGGTTCTGGCTTCACGACATCCAGAACTTTGCGAAGGAAAGCCTGAAGGCCAGCTGCTTTGCCTTGGAGTCCGCACCCAGAGAAAACACTTTCCATTCGCTTCACCATGAAAGTACAATATAGTACTTACTGTTGGATAGTAGGTGCACGCGGTCCTGGCGTATGCTAGATGCAAAATTAAGGCGCAAGGACCTGAAGCAAGACACCCCGAAAAGCGAAGTCGTTTGCCCTTCTGCAGGATATTCCATCTGTTCTTGGTGATTACCTTGAGTTAATTCAAGCTGCAAGCAGCAGCGCAGCAGACAGCCGATAGTTTATCCCGGCAAGAAGGTTGAACATAAAAGCTGAAGTGTCGGAAATGTTCCGCATTCTCAAAGCACCCAGCCTGTCTTCTACTGTAGGAGCCTCTACCGTAGGAGCCTAAAGCTGGTATGAATAGTATCCCCTTATAGTCTGTTGTTCTCTACCTCGCTCTCTCTCTCTCTCTCTCACTCTCTCTCTCTCTCTATATATATATATACATATTATATCTACACACATACAAACCTGTAGTATATTAAACCCCAAATCCTATACCGGTTGTTAATTGTTCATGCCCCTAAGGTGGGCTAGATGAATTTGAATCTGGAACCCTAAGCCCTAAACCCTAACCCCTAAACCCTATCCTAAAAACCCCAAACCCTAAAAACCCTAAACCCTAAAAGCCCTAAACCTTAAAAACCCTAAACCCAAGCAGCCAGCAGCCACAAAGATCGCAAGCAAGTATGTCGCTCTGTGGAGTTTAGGGTTTGGGGTTCCATAAAGGATCAGGGTTTAGGGTTTAGGAGCTTAAACCCTAAGCCCTAAATCCAAGGATCTCAAAAAAAGGCAAAACCTCATTCAGGACCCTGATACGAACCCTAAACCCTAAACCCTGATAAGAGGCGACCCAAAGTTGCGTGTCACTCACTGCAAGGGCGCCCGGGGCATGCGAAGATTATGGCGTAGGTTGCCAAAGCTGAGCTTAGAGCCATGAAAGTGGGTTGGTAGCAGCTTCCCGCGACTTTTTTTAACACATGGCCGAGTAGCATGGTCTAGCATATTGTGGCAAGAGTTTCAACCCTTAAGCCAAGAGGCTGCTGTATCCTCGCGAGCTATGGCATCTGACATGGCATCCGTGCCACTACGTCGGCTGGTCGTGACGTGCGAGACGCGCTTGCCGGCTGCTTGCGATGCGCTGGCTGATGAGCAGACCGTCCTGGGCCGAATGATCTACAAGTCAAGGAATCAGCATAGGAGGCACAGGCATCACAACTTCCTCAGTGCAACTTTCAAGGCCTTAGATCTTTTGCTTCAAAGTGTGAACTCACTGGAGCTGCGGACTTTAGCACAGTCTGTCGTCGAGCACAGCACCTCGCTAGCCGTTTCCTCTACGAAGCCATTGTCGACCATGGGAAACCAGGAAGCGGCTGAAAAGCTGCTGCTGTCGCTGGAAACCGTTCAGGGCCGCGCAGAGTCCCTGCAAGCTTTGACGAAGGTCGCCGGCGCAGCCTTCCACCCGCTGGTAAGGTTGGGCTTCTTCGTGCCACTGGCTCTTTGCGCCACTGCCTTGCTTGGCCACTTTGTAGCTGAATGGCTCCACTTTACACTTTTTGTGGATAAACATTAGATCCCTTATATTACTCAAAGACTCGCATCACAGTCATGAGTACTGTCTTGTGGGTCAAGCTGGGCAGCAAGGGCAGCAGACGAGTCCCTTGTGAAAAAATCGAGCCCAAAGACTGAAACTGCACTCTACACTTTTGTGGAGAAATCTTAGATCCCTTATTACTCTTTTGTGAATAAATATTAGATCCCTTATATCGAACCCAAAGACTGAAACTGCAACTACCCATAGGCCCCATAGTAGTTCCTTTTTGGGGTTCATATTTAGAATCCTATAAGGTAATCCCAAAAAGGAACTACTATGGGGCCTATTGGTAAGGCCGAGTCTACAGCCTTTCAGCCGAGATCTGCGAGGCCGTCTCGGGCGCTGCCGCCGCTCTCACGCCCGAGCCCGAGATCCCGGCCGCGGCACCGGAACCCCCAAGGCTCCAAGTATACAGTATACAAACAGTGCCTACTTTGGGGTCTAGGTTTAGGGT